TGTTTCATGACCCAACTAGGTAACCTCATCAGTGCTAAAGGGAGTGGGATTTACAGAGGAGGAAGAGGATGACAACTGTGGGGTCCTTCGTGGTCTTTGAGCTTGGTTGTGTTCTTGCAGACGTTTTATGACCCAACTAGGGAACCTCATCTGTGTTGGAGGGGAGGGGAGATAAATAGGATCCCACCTGCTCAGAGATTTGAACTGTGGGGTCCCTGGTGCTCTTTGAGCTTGGTGGTTTCCTTGCAGACATTTCATGACCCAGCTAGGGAACAACATCAGTACCAATAAAGGAGAATATCTGTAGTTCAGGATTGAAATGAGGAGTCCTTGGTGCTCCCTGAGCTTGGTGGTTTTCCTGCAGACATTTCACCACCCAACTATGTAACATCATCAGTGCTAATAACGAAACATCTTCAAGAAAACCACCAAGCTCAGAGAGCACCAAGGGCCCCTCGTAGTTGTTTTTTTTCCTGTTTTTCACCTTGATGCTTTCAAATTTTAGGAGACCGATGTGGAAGAGAGCAAACATCGAAGAGCTTGTGTGTTGACTTGGGGCTGTAGTCATGCTTTGAATCTACCCGCCTGGGCTTCAGGAGGATCTGTTCCAGGGATAATGTGATTGAGTGGGGATCCAACTCAATTCATTAAATGTTGCGGGGTTGGCAACAGAGGCCCAGCTAGCCAGAGGCCCAGCTAGCCTTGAATATGTGTTTGTGGTTGGGAACGCCTTGACAAAGGAGGCAGAGTGTAGAAGGGAAAACATGCTGTGACTAGGCTTAAACATTTCATCATCCCTGATAAGAGGGAGTCCTTGACTTGCAATGGTTCATTTAGGGACCGTTTCAAAGTTACGACGACACTGGAAAAAAATGATTTTTGACCAATTTTACACACGGCCATTGGAACAAAGTTTGGACATTTGCCAACGGATTCAGATTTGCGTCCCGAGGTCACGTGATTTCCTTTGGCAACCTTCAGACAGGCAATAGGGAAGGCAGACTCACTTAACAACCAGGGTTACCATCTTATCAACCGCAGGGATTCACTCACTTAACGGCGGGCGAGAAAGGTTGTTAAAAAGGGCAAAACTCGCTTAACAAACGCTGACTTAACAAGAAGCATGTCATGCTCCATTGCGGTCGTAAGTCAAGGACCCCCTGTTTAGGAGAGAGGGAAGGAGTGGGGGGGGCAATAAAACTTTCTGCCACAAGATGGAAGCAGCAGACAGTTGTGTGAGGTGTTGGGTGTGTCATTGTTTAAATGACAAAGGGCTAAAATAATAATAGTTCTGGCCAAGATGAAAGGATGAATAGTGCCCGCCTTTACAAATGAGTTTGCTTTCCACAGGAAACGAAGCAGTCATAGGACTTGCAGGCCATGAAAGAATTTATCATGTGCCCCTTGTAGTTTGAGTCATGTGCTTTGGTAACACATGTTCCTCCCTCTCTCAGCCAAATGAACAAGTACATTCTTCTTTGTGGAAGGAGTGGGTGGGTCGTGGAGGAGTATGAGATGTTTCTCAGCCCGCAATTTAATTATCTGTTCCAATATTTAGTTCGGCCCATCTTCCTGGCTTTCCCTGCTGAATTGCGCATCTTTGGCACATGATGCGCTGTGAAAAGCAGGGTACATTTGAAGAGCCATTCTAAGGAATGTTAGGGGTAGTCTTCATTGGCCGAATGTGATTGGACCCACAAGGAATTTTGTCTCTGGCATAGAAGCTGTCGGTATCTCATCCAAAGTTCAATCAAAGTATTCAAAACTAGCTGGATCCCCGTGCTTCGCTATGAAACTATGTGGTTGGGCAAGTTTTTGGGGTGGAAAATAAGGGGAGAAAAAATTCTGCCTCTGTCTACCAGCATCCATTGGTATTCATCTGGCTAGCATCCTGTCATTGTGTGAGAGAGTTGAGGGCTGTTTGGAAACTGAAACAATATTGTAACTGAAGGGGAAAGTGCCATGAGGAACCTGGCCTAAAATGCATATGTGCTAACGTGGTTGTTAGGAGATTATTGTTTTTAATTTTTAAAGTGATAATTAAAAAGTCAAATTATTATTGGGAATTAAAGAGGAGTTAAACTAAATGATGTATAAGGTAAAGGGGTGGTCCACTCAAATGGGTAATTGTGAGGGAAATCTTTGGAATTGTTTGAATTGGGATGGAATTTTTGAAATGATGATTTAAGAATATGCGATGCAATTGAAAACCTGACAGGTAAAAGTGTAAAGTTCAATGAACATGAAGATATTGGAATTATTTAAAGTTAAAAGAATTAGGTCAGGAAATGAATAGAAAATATACAAAATAAGTTTGAGAAAAGTATTTGAGAAAATTTACAGAAAATATGTAACGTAATGATAGGATATGGAATTAAAGATGAAAGATGAATATGTAACTAAGGTCGTGTTTGTATGAAAATGTGAAAACCTGGAATCATGCTGTTCACAAAAAAGATGTTTTAGAAATGTGAAAAAATAAAAAACTTTTTACCAAAAAAAAGAGAGGAAATAAACAGTATTTGCTGTGTGAGCAAGAAGGAGACAGCAAGGAGCCTGGGCGTGGCTTAGCTCAACTGTTCTGTACTAAAGCTGCTTGGTGCAGCTGTGAAACTGAACCTCCTCTCCTGTTTGGGTTTTGCAATTGGAAGAGATTTCTTTTCAGGTGGGGAAGTGGGGTAGAACTCCTTAGCATCAGAACGTGATAATAATAATATAGTAAATACTCGAAATGCTCTGATGGTTAATTTCAAAAAATCCTTTTGTCATGCCCCTGGTGGAGACTGACTCTGAGCAGTCAGAGAAGGACCCAGGTCCATCCCCTATCCATCCTAGGGCATGCAGGGAGGAGAGGATCAGGGTAAAACGTGGTTTACTCAGGAGGAGGGGGCCATGATCATCTTCATGGGTTGCACGTGTGAGATCTGCATAAGAGTTTGGACCTTCCTGCTAACAGGTGCTGGAGTCAAATTAGTGTTTTATTCCTAAAGAAGGTTTATCTTGGTTGGCGTTCTTCCAACGGACTGTCCCTGGTTATCTTCCTGAAATTGGCAATTATGTATCCTGGTCTGTCATGGAACTTTATTCAATGCGGTTTGTTTTTGGTTTTTGCTTCGTTATTGGCTCTTTGAATTTGAACTGTGTTTCATTCCTTTGAAATGTTATTTTGAAAATAGTTTACTCCTCCACTGTGAACAATTAAACAGTGAAGCCAAGTTGAAGGCCTTTTAGTTATGTTTTGGGTTTTGTTATATTTCTGATATACTCTGGGTCATCACACCTTTCTTAGCGAGCACCTAGAAGCCAAGAGGAACCTACGGGCCAAATTTCAAGTTTGTAGGCTTTATAGTTCTTGAGGTTTTGTGATGATACGTGAGGGGTATTTCACTTTTATATATATAGATACAATACATATTTCTGAGTCAACCCCTACCGTTTGCCATTGTAGGTTCGCCATCACAGGCATAGACTACTTAATGCCAGTATGCTCACCCAGCCAAAGTGGCACTATTGTAGTATACAGGTAGTCCTTGACTTACAACAGTTCATTGAATGACCATTCAAAGTTACAACGGCGCTGAAAAAAGGGGCTTGTGGCCATTTCTTCACACTTAAAGACCGTCGTAGCATCAACACAGTCACGTGATCGAAATTCGAGACGCTTGGCAAGCAACTGGTTCATATTTATGACAGCTGCAGCTCCTTTGGGGTCTCATGATCCCCTTTTTGTGACCTTCTGTCGGTGGGGAAGCCAGATTGGCTTACCAACTGGGTGGCTAGCTTAACAATTGCAGTGATTGGCTTAACAACTGGGGCGAGAACAGTCGTAAAACGGGACCATTTAGCAAACGTCTCACTTAGCAATGTCAATGTTGGGGCTGCACTGTGGCCTAAGTCAAGGAGTAGCTGGATTTAGCTGATGGCACAAACCCGAAATTGAATGTGTGGGTGAATTTTTCCTCTCCTTGTTCTCTTGAGTTGCTATTTTCTTCTGCTTGGCTTTTCTCACGTTCTCCAGTCTAATTGGTTTTGCCTTCAGCCGTAATTACCGAGGAGGGGTAAAATCTATTTTATCAGTGTAATTAAATGTAGCTGGTTGGCAAGTTAATCAGACTGCAGAAACATTCCTCTATCCTCCAAATTGGACAGGAGGAGGATCGGCGAGTTAGTTCAGAAGCTCTCACTCCTCCTCTTCACATACATCACCTGTGACCTCTGTCAATAGGACTTGTGTACACAGGACATGAATCAGTTGTCCACCCAAACTGACCCGTTGCTCTGTCAGTTGCACGTCTAGTGTTTGCGCTGTCAGAGACAGCTTAGTTTTATTACTAAGGTGGGTTCCGCCCTCGTTGCAAGAATGCTGCAATCTCCTTTACTGTATTGAGTAAAGTAGAGTACATTAGAGTAGAGTAGAGTAGAAGAGAATACAGAATATAGAGTAGTAGAGTAGATTAGAGAATACAGAACATAGAATAGAGTAGAATAGAATAGAATAGAACAGAACAGAACAGAACAGAACAGAACAGAACAGAATAGAATAGAATAGAATAGAGAACATGGAATGGAATGGAATGGAATGGAATAGAATAGAATAGAATAGAATAGAATAGAATAGAATAGAATAGAATAGAATAGAATAGAATAGAATAGAATAGAATAGAATAGAATATATGGAATGGAAATAGAATAGAGTAGAATGGAATAGAAAATATGGAATAGAATAGAACAGAATAGAATTCTTTATTGGCCAAGTGTGATTGGACACACAAGAAATTTGTCTTGGTGCAAATGCTCTCAGTATACCTAAAAGAGCATCAAGAGTCAAGAATCAACACTTAATAATAGTCACAGGGTACAATAAGCAATCAAATCATATTAGGAAACAGTCCATATAAATCGTTAGGATACAAGAGACAAAGTTACAGTCATATAGTCACAAGTGGGAGGGGACGGGTGATAAGGAGTGATGAGAAGGTTAATAGTAATAGTAGTGCAGACTTTGTAAATAGTTGGACAGTGTTGAGGGAATTAGTTGTTTAGCAGAGTGATGGCATTCGGGGAGAAAATTCCCCTTGTATTTAGTTGTTCTGGTGTGCAGGGCTCTATAGTGTTGTTTTGAGGGTAGGAGCTGAACCAGTTTATGTCCAGGATGTGAGGGGTCGGTAGGTATTTTCACAGCCCTCTTTTTGACTCATGCAGGATACAGGTCCTCAGTGAAAGGCAGGTTCGCAGTAATTGTTTTTTTTTTTTTTGAGACAAATGGTTGTCCAGTCTCTTCTTAAAAACTTCCAATGATGTTCCAAGTCACAACTTCTGGAGACAAGCTCTTCCACTAGTTAATTGTCCTCGCTTTTAGGAAGTTTCTCCTTAATTCCAGGTTGCTTCTCCCCTTGATTACTTTCCATCTGTTGCTTCTTCTCCTGCCTTTAGGGGCTTTGGAGAATAGCTTGACTCCCTCTTCTTTGTGGCAGGCCCTGAGATATATTGAATTAACTCTAGATGAAGCTATCCATCAAAAGCTTATCTCGATGCTTAGCAAGTTTCTCAACCGCTTGACTTAGGGCAGGGCGTTGTTATGTTACATAGCTTGCTATTTCAGAGAGGTTACATGAATTTGTCTCTCCAGATTTGAACACAGAGGTAGTCCTTGACTTACAACAGTCCATTGAGTGACCAAGTTACAATGGCAGTCAATAAAAGTGACTTAGGACCGTTTTTCACAGTTATGACCTTTGCAGTTTTCCCATGATCAAAATTCAGATGCTTGGCCACGGGTTCATAATTATGACCATTGCTGTGTTCCCTTTTGTGACTTTTGGACGAGCTAAGTCAGTGGGGAAAGCCATTGACAACTATATTACTAACTGACCCGTGGCAATGATTCACTTAACAACTGAGGCAAGAAACTTCGTAAAATGTGGCAAAACTCACTTAAGAAATGTTTCCCTTAGCAATAAGAATTTGGGGGTCAAATTGTGGTTGTAAGTTGAGAACACCTGTGCATTTATAGAAGGTGTGTTTGTTCCCCTAGAGCCTCTTTTTCCTCTGTGTCTGCCAAATGTTGGAAATGTAACCAGACACCTGGGACATATTATCATATGTGGTGGACGTGTGAAAAGGCAAATAAATATTGGACAAAATGCATACCCGGTTGGAGAAAAATGTTAAAACGACACATAGATTGTAAGCCAGAAATATTTTTTGCCAGGCATAATACCTGAAAAGCATGATAAAGGGAACCTATATTTAATATTGCATGCTTTGACAGCAGCAAGAATTGTGTACGAACACTTGGAAAAATTAGGAAACATCCAAAGAAGGTGATGTAATTTTTTTTAAAAAATTGAGATTGTGTAGAAATGGATAGATCGAAATTGAAAAGAAAAGAAAAAGAAGACACAGAGTATTTTCAAACATGGGATTTACTTTATAAATGGTTGGAACAGTGGTGAGATTGGAATAACTTAACAACCGGTTCTCTGGCTGGGTAAATTGGTCATGTGCCTGGGTGGGTGATGTCACTTAATTCACCCAGCCAGCGTCCTGGCCACTCACCTCAAAGGCAGAGGTAGGATTCAGCTGGTTGTGACTAATCCAACCACCGGCTGGCCTCGCCCCTGCCAGTTTTTCGGCCATTTTTTTGGCTGTTTTCAGGATGTTTTGGGGGTCATTTTTGGCTCCCCAAATGCCCAAGAAACAGGCTGAAAAATGAGTGGGGGCAGGGCCAGCCAGGGGTGGGATTTGCCAGTTCACCGCACTGTGCAGAATCTTAACAACCAGTTCATGCGAACCAGTGTGAACCGGCAGCAGCCCATCTCTGGGTTGGACAGTAGAGGTAGAAATTAGGAATGGGAAGAGTATTATTGTATAAAAATAAACTGAACCAGGCAATACACTGTTCATTAAGCACTTATGTATGTATGTAATGTGAAAATATATAAATAAACTGGTTTTTTTTAAAGAGCCTCTTTCCCACTTTTTCACCAGACCTTCTCCTTGAGTTTTCCTTGGGGAAGTTCAAGAATTTCTTGTTGAATGAAAGTGTCCCAGCTGAAGCCGTCTTGAGGAACATTGCTGGCAATGTGACGCTCGTCCTATTTCAGATCCACGCCCACCACCAAAATGTGACCATCTCCTTTGAGCAGGTTATTTCAAGTCCCATTTTCTAACACTCGTGTAGACCCAGAAAAGAAAATTGAAATTGAAAATTTTTTGTTTCTGGAAAAGGAACAATGATTTTCTTTCCCTTCTTAGGAACCTTCTCCTAGCAACTCGGGAACTGGAGTAGACAGAGGCTTAGTTTCAGTGCTTCGAACTGAGCAGACGGTATGCACGTGGTATTTGCGAGCAATAGATGCGAATCAGGTGCTGAGCACAGCAGTTTCTTTATCCTACACTGAAAAAGGTAAGTTTAGCCGTTGCTGGGACCTAAGGTTCGGACCAAATGGCATATAGCTTCAGCCATCATTATGGTATCAAATATTTAGAGGACCACTAGAGAGGCTAAGATTCAGCATCAGAATGATTGTGGCCATCACAGCATGTGTCAGGATTCCAGCAATCGCCCTAATTAAATCATGATTCTTGAGCCAAACTTCAAAAAAACTCAAAAGATTTATTAGGAGCAACATACTGGCATTAACCTACATGAAGCCAACTCTGGCATACGTAATTTACAGTCCCCTGTGACCCTGTTCCCCCCCTAACCCCTGGGTGTCTCATCAACCAGATTCTTCAATGGAGCAGGTTTACGGGCTGGGTGTCATCAATCTCGTTCTCCAATTAAATATATTCGTGGGCAAAAGCTCTGATATTTTAGTTATAATCTTTTAAAGATAAAGAACTGGATTGTACTTTTGCTTTCCCCCCTTTTTATGGCAACTACTAAAACAGGCATAGGAATATTTTAGGAGTTGACAGCATGATAGTTCTGTCTGTCTATGTAAGATTATCTGTCATCTCTATCTGTGTCTGCCTATACCTGTCAGTCTTCTATCGTTTCTGCCTATATCTATTTATCAGTCTACCCATTCTCTCTCTCTCTCTCTCTCCCTCTCTCTCTCTCTCTCTCTCTCTCTCCTACAGCAGGGGTAACAAACTCAAGGCCTGCAGGCTGGATGCAGACCACAGGATACTTAGATCTGGCCTGTGGAGCTGCCCTGGAAACAGCAAAGGACCAGCCCAAGGTGCCTCTGCCACTGAAAATGGAGCGGCCCTCCCAAACTCCATTTTCGGCTGCGATGGCCTCCTGCAACACTCTGCCAGACAAAAAGGAGCTCCTGAGCTCTGTTTTCACTGGCAGAGCACTTGGGCTGCCATAGGTGCCCCCAACACAAGTGATGTTGAGTTGGCCATGCCTACCCTGGCCACGCCCACCTCCCCCCAAGGTCAAACACAACCCTGATGCAGCCCTCAATGTGTTGTGGTTCGCCAGCAGCAGGTGCAGACGGCTGAGGTCTCAGAGAGCGAGGACTCAGATGAGGAGCCTGCGTGTGATGAAGGGATGGGGCCAGGACCACCAGGGAGTGGAATGCTGCCTTTGGAGATTGTGGAGGCTGGCAGCAGTGAGGAAGAGGCCCCCGAGGAGCCTGTGCCCAGTGCACGTACACTCAGGGCTGCTCAAAGGAAAGAGCAGCTGCAGCAGTATAGGCGACTCAGGAGTAAGGCTTCAAGGTAATGGCCCCTTCCTTAAGGGATAAGAGCCAGCTGAGAAACCAGAGTTCTTTGCAAGAAGCAAAGAAGTTCTTGCACTTCAAGCCTTGTGGAAGTTCGGACTATCTTGGTTTGTGTTGGAGACTTTTTGTTTGGAATATTTCTTGGCAACTTAATCTAGTGCTTTTGGCAGCCTTGTACAACCTTGGCAAGGCTCGTTCTTATCAGAGACAATTAGTTTTAATAGTCTTTTAACCATGAATTAACAAAATTTGCAGAGAAGCATTAAAAGGTTTTGCTTTTATCTCTGGTGTTTGTTTACTTGGAACAAGGTTTGGGTCAGAACACAATGAAATCAAGTTTGACACCCGATTTACAGTATCTATCTTTTATCTATCTATCATTCATTTATCTATCACCTATTATCTATCAACCTACCTACCTACCTATCACAGTTGAGCCCAAAATTTATCTTGCCAAGCAAGACAGCTGTTAAGTGCATTTTGTCCCATCTTACGACTGTTCTTGCCACCGTTGTTAAGTGAACCATTGCAGTTGCTAAGTTGGTAACCCGTTTGCTAAGTGAATCTGGCTTCCCCACTGACTTCGCTTGTCAGAAGGTCGCAAAAGGTGAACACATGACCCTGGAATACTGCAACCATCATAAATATGAGTCAGTTGCCAAGCTGTTCTGACCATGGCATCCTGAGACCATAATTAAGCACATGCTTAGTTCAAACAACCCTCTTTTTATTTCAACGGCTGGGAATTTTATTCATTCCCAGCCCATAATGAGTCCCAAACAGTCCCTCGAGATAAGCACCCACCTTTATCTCCTTTGAATTGCTGCCAAAAACTAAAGTGACAAATTAACTATAAAAAACCAACCAACAAAGTCCACACAGAGCTTTAAGGTTTAATCCGAACAGAAAGAACAAAGTTGTTCCTGCAAAGGCTCCCGTCCCTTTGCACTTCCTTTATACCTTAGGGGAGGGGCAATCACCTCCAAGCGTTACTCCCGAGTCGCCCCTTTTGTCTTAACTGTTCTTGACTTCTGGCAGCTCTACGCATGCACGCACTGGGAACAGGCTCCCCTTGTTCCTTGCTGGTGTCCTGCCTTGCTGGTGTCAGATTCTGAAGGCTCCGGAATCACTACATAACTCCCAGATGGCCCTGGCCCCATCTCTGTATCGGACGCAGGACCCTCGTCCGAGTCCTCCCCAGACTCCCGGACTGGCCCATGTTCCTCCCCACTGTCCGACTCTGCTGCCATCTCTGCAGGCTGCCGGCGGACCACAACACCAGCGTCCAAATTTTGATCACATAACTGCAGGACGCTGCAGCCGCCATGAATATGAGTCAGTTGCCAAGTGTCTGAATTTTCATCATGTGACCATGGGGATGCTACAACTGTGTGAAAAACAGTCATAAATCACTTTTTTTCAATGACACTGTAACTTTGAACGGTCACTAAATGGATAATTGTAGCTGAAGGATTACCTGTATATATCTGTCCAATTCACAGCTGTTCACCTGTATCCACGGCTGTATATTATGTTCAGCCTGGGCTGAATGCAACTCACTTGCACACCATCTTATTATCGAAAGCAGTGGACAAAATGTGGTTTCATTTTCCAGATCTGTCCTACCATTCCTTACTCCTGTTTCTTGATTTTATTTATTTATAATTCTGCCTAGATCCAATACCTGGTGGATGCAACTTGGAATTTGATTTGGAAATGGACCCCAACCTGTATCTAGACTATAACCTGGCTGATACTCACATTATATTTGCTCCAGCAAATCTGGGGTACGCAAGGTAGGTGGTTGTTCTTAGGTGAAAGAAACAGATGTCAGAGGAAGATTGTGGATGATGGGTGAGGTCCTTCTTAAGACCCTGGTAGATTTTTATAGCTAGGAAGCAAGAAAAGTTAACAAAACGCTGTTTTTTCTGACCCAGCTCTCCAAACAAGACAAACCCTCTGAAGTGAACTTAAAAGATTCCTTTATTAGGAGTCCCGGCAACCCCGGCAAAAAGTTTCTCTCTCACCGCAGGCTAACAAGTCCATCTGGCAGGGAAATTAATAGTTGTCTGCCACATCTATTCATCTCTACCCCTTGCCTTTTATCCCCAGAGCTAAAGTGGGGCCTCGCTAGCAGCGGTGGGTCTTCTGTCCCAAGGACCGGCCCATAGATTTCCACTGCTCTCCTCTCCTCTGCCTTCTGCGCATCCACGTGTCAGGCACTGGACCCAGCTGTTCCTCTTCTTCCTCATCAGTCACAACCAGACCTGGCAGCTGTTGACTCTCCACCTGAGGGCTAATAGATGGCCCAGGTTTTCTGGTGCTAAAATTATTCCTTAACCAAATACAGGTACTCCTCAACTTACGACCACATCTGAACCCCAAATTCCTGTTGCTAATTGAGACATTGGTTAAGTGAGTTTTGTTCCATTTCATTGTAAAACCTGGAACATTGAAGGAGCAATGTTGGGAGATGTGTCTTGAGTTAGAAAATGCTATATAGGTCTGTTTAAATAGATAAATATCTATTGATTGAAGGAAGGACAGAAAAGAAGATAGGTTTTCAGAAATAATTGTCCCCCCAAAAAACGATCAAAGAGAAATTGGCCAAATGTGAATATTTTATAATGGTTTTACACTGGAACAAACTACTAAAAGAAGAGTTTATTTATCTCGGTTGCAAAGAACCTTAATGGCGGTGACAAGAGTTCCTGGCTTTTGAACCACTTCTAGGAATATTTATTTATTTATTATTAAGCTCAGATGCCCCTTCATTTCTGGAGAATAAGCAGCTTAAAATATTAACCTCCCAAGATTAACTGCATCGATTAATGCAGTTATAGTAACCAATCTGGTAGGCCACTGTTAGGGACAGCGAGATTTTACTTATTCCTAAATGCCGTTTGGCCGAGCTCCGATTTTACAATTCTTCAAAAATGAAGTAAGGAAACAGAATCTGGATATCTGGGAGTAAGCTATCTCCAAAGGGTGGAGAGAGAGAGAGAGAGAGAGAGAGAGAGAGAGAGAGAGATAAACAGAGAGACACAGAGACAAGGGAGAGACAGAGAGAGGCAGAGACAGACAGAGAGAGAAAGAGGCAGAGAGAGAGAGGTTAAATATTGACATAGATGTCCACACAGTCCAAAGTTAAAAGTTGTTTAAAAAAGGATTTGCAATTTAGCTGAAATTGGGTGGGGCTATTCCTCAGATGAAATCTTCCTTATTAACAGAATAACAGAGTTGGAAGGGGCCTTGGAGGTCTTCTAGTCCAACCTCCTCCTCAAGCAGGAAACCCTATAGCATTTCAGACAAAGCGTTGTCCAGTCTCTTCTTAAAAGCCTCCAGTGATGGAGCACACACAACTTCTGGAGGCAGGCTGTTAATTGTCCTCACTGTCAGGAAATTTCTCCTAGGTTGCTTCTCCTTGATGAGCTTCCACCCTTTGCTTGTCCTGCCTTCGGGTGCTTTGGAGAATAGCTTGACTCCCTCTCCTTTGGGGCAGCCCCTGAAATATTGGAAGACTGCTATCATGTCACACCTAGTCTTTCTTTTCATTAGACTAAACATACCCAATTCCTGCAACTATTCTTCCCATGTTTCTTAGCTCCCAATCCCCTAATCATCTTTGTTGCTCTTCTCAGCACTCCTCCTTCAACTATTGAAAAGATTTGCCACCATTAAACCAGAAAGAATCATTATTTCCCAGTTAATTTTACTATGCCTGTAGCATCAATACACAACTTCATTACACAAGGCGTAGCAGCAACTTACAGCTCAATTATCCAAGGTGGTTTTCCAAGCGTGGCTGAATTACGCTTCTCAGCACTTTTGAGGCTTAGGTTTGCTACTTGAGAGTTGCTGTGCTTGTATTACAACGTGGTTAAAAATTGGCCTACAAATTGAAGTAGCACATGATAATTCATGGACATTTCTGTCTCTCTCTCATGGTTTGTAGTGGTTCAGAAGTGGTTTGCCATTGTCTTTTTCTATGATTTTTTTTTTACTATCTAGTCCACCCACTGGTGTTTTCTCATGATCTCTTGTCCAAGTTCTAACCAGGTTTGACTCTGCTGAGTATTTTGAGTTCAAGGAAAGTTATCCCGTTGCCATCACCTGCTGAAATGTTCTTGAGGTCCATGTGATGACGGGGGAATACAAAATAAACACAGTCACAAAAACCCGGTGAAGCCCCTTTTATTCCTTCACTTTGCTTCCAAGCTCCAAATATCCTTGACTGGAGACAAAAAACCTCCCACACAAGCAGTTATAAGAAAGAGGGGAAAAAAACAACACAAACCAGGCAAGATAAGGGCTGGAGGATGTCCACAGATATCAGAACATACATTGGGAAGGACGCGAAACTCAGAGAGGAACAATAAACTAGAGATATTTCCATGCTTTGTTTCCAGCATTTGCCTGTATGCATGTCCGACCTCTTATCCAGTTGTCACAGCTGCAGCCCATGAAGAGGATCAAGGCCCTCTCCTTCTGAGTAGACCACGTCTCCCCCTTACCTTCTCCCTGCATGCCCTAGGATGGAGAGAGGATGGGCCTGGGTCCTCGTCTGACTGCCCAGCCTCCTCCACAACCTCCGGAGCCACACTTCCACTCCCCATTGGCTGTTCCTCCTCTCCCTCAGAGTCAGTTTCCACCAGGGGCATGACAGTCCATACCTTTCTTTCTCTGTTTGAAATCATTCTTTTAAGAGACTGGGTGGGGGGAACAAAAGAGTTTGAATACTCTGGAGGACATGGCATGTGGGTCTCCATCCAAACCATCTCCAATTTCCTTCTATTGTTCAGAGGGACACACCCACCCTCGTGTGATTCGGGAACCAGTCTGGATTCCAGGTGGAGACTCTCTTATGATGTCTACCAGTATTTTTTGCCCGAGAACGATTTGTCGGAAGCCACATTTGTGAGTCATATGAGAAGAATGACTGAAGTTCCGAGCATCCAGGCTCATGGATCTAAAGTAAGTCACGCTGGTTTTCATTGCGGACGATGAGGGGTGTTTGGGGCACTCTCTTGTATGACTAGCTTAAATGCAGAAAAGGCCTCTTGGAAACTTCATTGAATTGAGGTTTTTTTCCCCCAGTGGCAATCTTGAAGTCAGTGTCATTAGACATAGATACATGGATGGATGGATGGATGGACGGACGATGGAAAGATAAGATGGATGGATGGATGGATAGAGACAGACGGATGGGTGGATAGATGTAGATAGATAGATCGCCATCTCTATTATCCACTCATTATCTATGATATGGATAGATAATGATAGGTAGGTAGGTAGATATGATAGACAGACAGATGATGAAGATAGATAATGATGGATGGATAGATAGATGGGTGGATAGATGGAGCTAGATCTCTATCTATCCCCCACCCATTATTATTTGTGATAGAAGACAGACAAACAAATAGCTAGTCAGGCAGATGGACAGACAGAATAGATAGATGGGTGGACAGATGAAGATAGATATGATAGACAGACAGACAGACATGAAGATAATGATGGATGGATAGAGACAGATGGGTGGATAGATGGAGATAGATAGATATCCATCTATCCACCCATCTATCCATCCATCCATCATTATCTATGATAGAAGATAGACAAGTAGATAGGCAGACGGACAGGCAGACAATAGATAGATGGGTGGATAAATGAAGAGAGAGAGAGAGGGAGAGATGGGATCTGTGACCCATTTTTCTTCATGGGCCATCAATGTCCTGATAGATGATGACCTTAACCAGCCAAGACAAAACTGAGCTGTACTTCTCGTCGCTTCCCGGACAAGGCGTGATCTACAATGTCATTGTGAGAGATCCTAAGTGGAACACTTCAGCTGCATACGTGCCTGTTCACACCTATGCCTGCAGCCTCTCTGCTTTGGTGAATAACTGCTACACCTTTAGTAAGTCAATGGAGCATTCTACAGCTGTATAGAGGCATCCACAGGGTGCCAAAAATGTCAAAATGGTAGCCACTGCTATGAAGGGAAAATCCCTCCCCTTTTTACACATCTTTTGGAGGGGGAGGTGTAAAATAGGGAGGGGCTTCAGTAATGTGTAGGGTTGTTGCAAAGTCAGACTGTCACTAACAAACGGTTGAGGCCCTCCTGTATCCTCCATAATTTAACATCCATCTTCACGTTTTGGGAATAGAGCTGAGGAGAAAGGAAGTATCAGAGGAATAAATCAGAGGAATTATCAAGAGGACATTAAAAGTTGTACTGAACGGGTTTTTAAAAAACTTTCTTAGAATCCCCCTCCTACTCCTCTTTTAATGACCCCATAATCCCTGAATGGAGCTAGCCAAGTGTTTTACTGGCCGGATGCCCTTCCTGTCACCAATGCAGAGTTTTTTTTCAGCAGATATATTCTCACTATTCTAGCATTTTGACCGTGTTGGATTCAATAACATGGGTCATTTGTTTCTCCAAATGGTTTTGATAACTCTTGAATAAAGAACTTAATCGAGGAATGGCAGTTTTAATACCTGTGGACTTCAACTCCCAGAATTCTCCAGTCAGCCACGTTGGCTGGGGAATCCTGGAAATTGAAGTCCACAAGTCTTAAAAGTAGCCAAGGTTGGACACCCATGGCTTGAGGTAATCCTTCTACAGCCCACCCTTATTTACGGGTCTGGAGGGTTGTCTTCTCGTAGGTGATAAGGGGAAGTCATATTTGTTGACGAGACAATGTGATTATAAACTATAGCCTAATCCTCAGTCTCTTTTCTATTTATAGGGAGGTTGTCCACCAAAATATTTTTCACCAATTTGGCTTTTCTCGGTCTCTTTGTCTGCTTCCTTGGACACAGATTCTGGAAAACAGGTACTGTTAGGAGGGTGCTTGATTCAGGAGTAGTCCGGTCCTATCAGGATTGATCTTGTCCAGTGTCAATCCTATGGAATCGTTGCATTGATAAGAAATCTAGATAATCTAGAGTCTAGCTCAACATTTCAAACAAAAGAGAAATGCGGCACATGCTTCTCAATTTAACCCTTAAAACATTTCATTATTCCTATGGAGAGTAGATCCTTTTTTTTTTTTTTAATGGAAGAGGATTAAGAAATATGTGGTCCTTCGAATGTTGGAGCCCCAGTTTCATCTAGCTTGACCAGGATTGTCAGTCTGTCCAGTTAGATCAGGGCTCTTCAACTTTAAACACTCAAAGAGCCATTTGGACCCGTTTCCCACAGAAAAGAAAACACTGGGAGCCTCAAACCCTGGGTGGGCATGGCCAACTCAACATCATTTTAAGATTCTGGGGGTGTTGGTGGAGGAAAGCCTGTTTTCATTTTTCTTTTAATTTTATCTCCCCCGCCCCCTTTAGGTTTATTCTTTAATGGGTTTATCTTCAAGGCTTTCTTTCTCTTTATCATCATTACTAAAGAATCAGCTCTCAGCTATGACGGTGAGTTTAAATTCTGTATGGTTATCTTTGTGCCCCGCGAAAGGTGTCGGAAGTGTTGGAAGAGAGATTGATGTTTCGAGAACAAGGGTGGAGTTAAACCAGATTCATACTGATTCTGATGTGACATTTCTCACTCCTTCAACCAAGTTAAGCAACCACTGACACGAGAGAACGTGGAGAGGCTGGGAAACACACAGAAGGAAAAATCGATTTAAACAATCAAGAGGTAGTTTAGAACAGAAAGAAAGCTGGGAAGAAACGTTTTGGATTGTTCAAGTTCAGCCTTAGTGAATTTACTGGTAGATGTGCGTGGGAAATTCCCTTTCGAGATTTACTGAAAAATTAGCCCTTAAAAGTATCTTATGAGATCCCAGATTCCCTGCAATCACTCACAGATAGTATCAAAAATCACAGCTTAATTTCCTATCCTCATCAGGGGTTAAGGCACTTGCTTTGATGAAATTATAGGGGGAGAAAAACCTGTATGGATATATAATAAATGCTAAATTTACATGCTCTTCTTTTCAACACTTTGAAGCACGTATCAGTTCCATTAAGGGGGCATCTCTTTCTGTATCGATGAAAAAATTGTGGAAGGGATAATTTTAGCAAAATTTTGCATCCATGAGGGCCTCTGCACTCTAGAAAGAGTGCAGAGAAGAGCAGCAAAGATGGCTGGAGGCTAAAACATAAGAAGAATGCTTGCAGGAATTGGGTTATGTCTAGTCTAGTGAACAGAAAAATTAGGGGGACTTGATAGCAGTGGGACTTGATAGCAGTGCTCCAATATTTGAGGGGCTGCCCCAAAGAAGAAGCGGGGGTCAATCTATTCTCCAGAGTCTCAAAAGCATCTTTGCTGGCTGATTGAGAATCTCCATAGACTTCTAATCTCCAATGTACTTGAAGTCTGGACAAGAAGCAATGGATGGAAACCAATCCAGGAGAGAAGCAGCCAAGAACTAAGGAGAAACATCCTGACAGTGAGGACAATCGATTGGTGGAATGGCCTCCAGAGGTTGTGGGGGCTCCATCACTGGACGTTTTTAAGAAGAGACTGGACAATCATTTGTCTGAAATGGTAGAGGGTCACCTGCTTGAGCAAGGGGTTGGACTAGAAGACCTCTAAAGTCCCTTCCAACTCTGTTATTCATTTCCATCTTCAGTGTGGCTCTGATGGTTAAAAGTTACCTAAGTAACTTGGACCTAGCCAAGCTCTGAGAAGCAATTATTTCCATTTTTTAAGGACAAGGGTAGGTGTGATGACTCAGGACGAGGCACAAAAGCAACAAAGTCACAAAAGTAGATAAACTCCCTTTAATTCCTCCAACTTGGCCTCCAATGTCCAGTTATCATTGGCTGGAGAAAAAACTCTCCCAAGAACAGTTTTTAAAGGGAAGAAATTCAGTCTGAACCCAAAGTACATATAAATTATAAATAAAAACCAACACAAACCACGCTGCAACAATTAACGAGAGAGGGCAGGATAAGGAATTGCAGAACTCAAAAGATAACGAAACACACACGGTTGGGAGGATGCCAGAACCCAGATAAGACTTGATAAACAAAGATAATTCATGCTTTGCTTCCAGCAAAGTACTATGCACAAATGCCCTTTTTAAATCCTGTTTTCCCAGCTGCAGCTAATGAAGGGAATCGGGGCCCTTTTCTCCCCCATAACCCATGTTGCTCCCTTATCCGTTCCTCCTTGCGTGCCCTAGGATGCAGAGGGGGTGGACCTGGGTCTTCCTCTGAATGCCCAGCTGGACTGGGCCCTTCCTCAGCTTCCTCCACAGCCACTGGAGCCACACTCCCACTCCCTGTCAGCTCCTCCTCAGAATCAGACTCCAACATGGGCTTGACAATAGGTCTGGTTCCCTTATAGTGAAAAATGAGCAAATACCTTAAAGTAAACAGTGAGTAATTTTGTAGATATGAGGTATGGAGAAAAACCCATTCTTAACTGCTCTAATCTTTACTCTTCCTCCTCTCCTCCTCCTTTCGTCTCCCCCTTGCTTCCTCTAGCCACTCTTGGTCTTACTGCGGCAGCTGGCATCATAGGAGCTCTCCTCTTAGTAGGATGTTGGTGGCGATTTGGCCTTGTGATCCCCTGTATGCTAATAGTAGGACTAGTGCTGGGGTGTCTTGTGTCGTCTGCACTTTTCTTCACTCCAGTAGGTAAGTGGTAGAAACCCTTCTCTGGTCCCCGCTGAACATCTGAGAAGAGGAATAGTAGAAAACACTTGTAGCTCGCGGGTTTTAGATTTTGGCAGTGGTTTGCTCTCGGCAGGACTTTGATAGAAGCGTCCTATTTCTTGTTAGCTTTTATATGTCTTGTGTGCTTTTCTCTCCTCCTCTACAGAGTGGAGAGTGGGTCTACAGAAAGCCACTTGAAGAGACTAAGAAGCATTTCAAATGTAGATTTATACAGGTGGCTGTTACAGATAAGTTGGGTTGACAAAAATCAGAAATGAGATGGTGATAGCTTCTTTGTCCCAGCTTCTGCCAACCTAGCAGTTAATGCAAGTAGAAAAATAGGGACCCCTTTGGTGGGAAGGTAACAGCATTCCGTGGGCCTTTGGCATTTAGACCTGCTGGCCACATGACCACGGAGGCGTCTTCGGACAGCGCTGGCTCTTTGGCTTTGTAACAGAGATGAGCAGCGCCCCCTAGAGCCGGAAACAACTAGCACGGATATGATAGTTTACCTTTACTTTACCTAGTCTACCAAAGAAGCAGTTAACAAGCATATTGATTTAGAGCCAGCATATGAACACGTAAAAAAACAGATTCAAATGACCAATCAACAAAGGAATCGACTTTCCCAGGGAATCGAGTTTCCCAGAATTTAAATACAGTGCCAAACAAACGGCCAATCATGCAACCAACTGACTACACTGCCACGCAAGACATATATAAGCTAAAGAGGGATAGGACAAAATACTTCAACTGAAGTCCCACTGATGATGTTACCTAGCTTGGTAATGGAATGTTCAGGAGCTAAATGGGAAGCACGGAGAGGAAACCATTGCCAAAATCTTAAAAGAGTACAGGAAGTCCTTGATGTACGGCCACAACTGAGCGCAAAATTCCTGTTGTTCAGTGAGCTTTGCCCCCATTTTACAATCTTTTTTGCCTTGCAGTTGATCAGTTAGTAACCCAGTTGTTAAGTGAATCCGGCTTCCCCATTGACTTTGCTCATCAGACGGTCGCAAAAGGGGATCACACGACCCCCGGGACGTGTCTGAATGTTGATCACATGATCATGGGGATGCCTCAAAAGTCATAACTCTTTCACTCTGAAAGACGGTCCTAAATCGCTTTTCTCCATGCCGTTGTAACTTTGAGTGGTCACTAAATGAACTTGTAAGTCAAGGACTGCCCGTAATTGCAATGATTTGCTTAACTGTGATAAAAAGATGGTAAGATTTGGGCGTGACCCAGTGGTGGGATTCAAATATTGTTGCCACCGGTTCGGTGGGCAGGGCTTGGTGGGCGCACTTTGCGCGCATGCACACACTTTGCATGCATGCGTGCGCCAAATGCGCACTTTGTGCAGGCGCAGAGGCATTCTAACTTGCCTCCTGCAAGCCTGCACGATCCTGGTTGCTTCAGCAGCTGCCGCGCAACACTGTTCTATGCCATGCAAAGCATCTGCGCTTCAAATTCAGCCGATAAAAGCGAATATAGGAGCCCGGGCGGATGGGTGGGCCCAACAGCAGAGTGGCGGAGAGAACTGGTTCGGTCTCTGCTGCTCATCGCTGCTACTGGCTCACCCGAAACGGGCCGAACTGGTCGAATACCACCACTGGTGTGACCCATTTAACAATCACTTTGTCAACACAAAAATATTTCTCTGGTCTTTTAGAGCTGCCAGCAGAAAGGGAGCGGGGGGAAGTAGTGCATTCCTTAAATGCTTCATAGATAATTACTAGGCAGCCGAAGCTTCTGGTACGCAAGATTATTACTGGAGAGCATAATTGATGACTCTTGGCTATGGATGTGTCCCATTGGAGAATATACATACATCCAGGGAGTGGGGGAAGACCAGAATTAAGGGGGAAATGAATGATGTGTCTCAGAGTCGGCTGCACCCAGGTAATGCCGACATGGTCACTCCGAACAAATGTTTTTTTAAAAAAAAACTCTGAGAGATGTGGCTAGACTCATGATTCAAATGGGGGTAGATTGTTTTACTTTGCTTTACTAATGGAAATTCTGCTCCATTGCCTCTTGGGGTTGCAAGTCAAGGACTTACCGGTTTAGCCAAAATCTCCACCCCTGAATCAGTTTTCAAGGGCAAGTCCACCGCCCTTGAAGCTAAATTATGATGTTTCCTTTTAACAAAAGTGAGATGTTTTCTTTAGCGAAGGAAATCTCTTCAGGATGGTCTTCATTTTAGGATTTGACAATTTGGCAATTATGAAAGAGAGGTTACAAATCTGGTTTTTTTTTTTTTTTTTGTTCCAGGAGACTATAGAATTTTTCAAGATAATGCTGTTTTCTGGGTCACCTTCTGTTGCGTTGCCTTGGTGATTCCAGTCATTTTTGTCTGCTGCCCCAGAGTTGTAAGTACTTCTGGAAGTTGAACATGAATTTCGATTTTCCTGGGCTGGGAGGTGAAGGAGATGCGATGACTGAATTATCTTTAGCAAACTTTGGCCTTGTGTTTTACAACTCTGGCCCTTAACTGCTCATAAAAATCATCAAGGACTATGCTCAAAATGTAAGGATGACTGATATTGGACTATGTTTATGTCCCCAACAGAAGAAAAAAAAAATCTGAGATATATGACAGACCCACCAAATGATCTGCTTGTTCCAGTTATAGACAAACATGTTTTGCTGAAATAAACTTCCATGTGCAAAATTCAATTTGATTATATTTTGCACTAATCTCTTTCTAACCAACTGCTTGATGTTTTAGTTTTAGTTTAGTTTTTAGTTTACTTTATTATCATTGCATCTTGTACGACAAAATTAAATACCATCTTCAGTGTACATTATGACTATGAAAATAAACACAAACACACCTCCTTCACATTCTATGCAATTGAACTGAAAACCCCTGATACTGCGTTAATATTGCACTAGAATATTGCAGTAAAATTCAATAGAATTACTGCCCTGGGATAGAAGCTGTTTTTCAGCCTATTTGTCCTTGTTTTTATTATCCTATACCATCTGCCAGATGGTAATAGTTCAAAAAAAAAAGGGGGGGGGGGTCCTAGATGGAGAAAAATTTTTGAAAATGCTGAACTTTCTTAAGGCAGCAGGAGCTATAAAGTCCTTTCAAAGAGGAGAGAAGGCAACCCATGATCCTCTGGGCAATGACATTAACCCTCTGGAGAGCTTTCCTATCTGCCCCTGTGCAATTGGCAAATCATACAGAGGTGCAGTAAGTTAAGATGCTCTCTTTGGTGCAGCAATAGAAGCAATAGAACTCAATTTCTCAGCAGAATAAATAAGAACAAATCTCCATGTGAAATCTGGTACCAGTATTTGGATGGCTTTCCTTCCATAGAGCACTGTCAAATAAGACAGACACCAAAAGGCATTTGTGTTCTTTCTCTTAGCTCAACATCTTGACGTGTGGGGTTGTCGGTTCCTACACCATTGTGTTGGCCACTGCATGTTACATCTATACCAGCCTCTCTTACATTGGCATCGATCTACTCCGGAGGATTCTGAATGAAGACTTCAAGAGAACCTACACCAGTGTGCCCTTCCAACCCAACGGTAAGCTTTGCGTTGGGTGAAGTTGGGTGCCTGGTGGGTCAGACTCACCAATGAGGGCATTTGGAGTAAGCCTGTGATATCTCTTTCTCTAAAAACATTCTCAAGACCATGGAGAACCCATGGAAGTCGAGGGGAAAATAATGGAAGCAGTGAAGATGGACTTAGCTTGAACGGTTTTGAAGTCTACAGAGATTTCTCCGCCATCCAGGTCAGGGTTGTCCCAAAGGTGCTTTTTCAAAAGGCAACTTAGGGACTTTGTTGTTGTTGTTTCCTTGAATATGTTTTGCTTCTCATCCAAGAACGGAAGAAGCTTCTTGGATGAGAAGCAAAACGTCTTCAAGGAAAAAACCAAGAAAGTCCAGTTTGTTCAGAGTTTTGCAGCGTAAACTCAGCGCCAGAAAAGTAAACGCAGATGGCTGGTGCTTCATTTAACGTCTTTATAAACATATTAAGTACATTTTACAATACTAGTTGTAGATTTCTCCAACATGGAACACACTCAAACAGAAGCAGACATGTTACAGGTTCAAAGCAGAACAGCAACTCAACTTCAGCAGACAATCAAGCAAGTTAGTTTCTCTTTCACTTTAGAGCTGAGCACAGAACAGAGATAAACCATGCCCAGATTCTCTCGTTACATTTCAACCCTCAACTCAGCTCTCATTGGCTGACTTTGTTGCTAAGCCCTATTCCAGTTCATGAATATACTCTGACACAGTTGCCTCTTGAAAAAAACACCTTTGGGACAACCATGACCTGGATGGCGGAGAAACTCCATAGATGTTCCATGGTGCATCATCCACAAAGCAAGATGGCTGGTTCCATGGTGAGGTGCCCATTGCAGTTGGTCTCCATGCCTCCAATCCAGCACTTGGCTAAAGAGAGTTCTCTTATTTGTTAGCTTTTGAAAGCTGATTTATACAGGTAATCCTCGACTTACAACTGCAACAGAGCCCAACATTCCTGTTGGAAAGTCAGACATCTGCTAGGTGAATTTTGCTCCGTTTGATGACCTTCCTTGCCCCGAAGGTTGTTCAGCGAAGCAGCTTCTTGGATGAGAAGCGAAACGTCTTCCAGGGAAAACTAAGGAAGCCCAATTGCCTTTTGAGAAAGCACCTTTGGGATCAACAGTTTTGAAAGCTTCGAGGAAGTCTGGATAAACAAACAGTACTTTGGACTTAAAAGGGGAGGTAGAAACCAGTGGTGGGATTCAGAAATTTTTTTTACCACTGGTTCAGTGGGTGTGGCTTGGTGGGCGCCCTTTGCGTGCACGTGCAGAGGGTTTCCTACAGACCTTTTCCTGCAATCCAGCATGCTCCCTGTGTCTTCAGCCGCTGACGCCCGGCAATCCGCTGTGCCGTGCGAAGCAGCTGAGCTTCAAAATCAGGAGATAAAGGTTGGTATAGACAGGGTGGACAGACGGGCCCAACAGCCAGTCATCGGAGCAAACTGGTTCACTCCTAGGGTGGGATTCTACCGGTTTGGCCTGGTTCTATAGAGCCGGTAGCTCCGAAGAGCAGCTGACATCAAACTGGTTTGCTGCAACAATCTTCTGATCGACTGTTTCACCCGCCTGCCCACCCGGGCTCTAGATTGTCCTTTAGTCTCTGCTTTTTCTTCCTCAGCTGCTTTGTGCGGCACAGCTGAGTGCCGCTCGTCAGCTGGAGCAGGTGAATGCTTGCTGGACCCGGTAATTTGTAAGTAGTGCGCATGCACACATTTGGTGTGCATGAAGCAAACCGGTTGTTATGCCGGTCGGATCCCACCCCTGGTTCACTCACAGATGATCCTCAGAGCTACCGATTCAGCCACACTGGTATAATACCACCCGTGGTGGAAACATTCTAACTCCGTGTGTGGCTTCGTCTTGTAGATATTATCCTCCTGGCCGTTTGGACTATGCTGGCAATCGGAGGAATCACCGTTCAGTTGCGCCGAGAAAGACACGAGGCTCCTTTCCCACCGCACCCGTATCGGCTATGGAAGCGTGAGAGGGAGCGCCGAGTCACCAATGTCTTGGATCCCAGCCACCACGTCCCTCCCTTGAGAGAGAGGGTCCATAATAAGCTGTCCCAGATCAAGGACCTCTTTCAGAAAGAGCAGGCGGCTGGCGAAAGAACCCCGCTGCTCTTATAAACTGATTCTTGGATGGGAAGGCTTGAGAAACGTGGATGGAGACCATGAAAGCCAAGGACTTTCTTCGTGGTATTTTCCACTGAACTGGAGAAGAATCCACGGTTGTCCGAGACAAATCTACTTGTATTTTGTTTTCAAGCACTGTAGCAGCCAGGAAGGGGGTTTTTTTGTCTGTAATTTTAATCTTTGATAGTAAAAAAAAATGTGTAAAGTTATCGGGGGGCAGGAAGGGTAGAATAGAAAGGTAGATGAATAAGCCAAGTGTGCAACTTGGAAACTTCAGAGTCCTGAGACAGAAAATGATAATTTCTTACCTTCAGTCCCAAAAGGCAACCCCTTTTAAGGGGAAATTTAGCTTCTGAACAGGATGTGTGTAAAGTGCTGGGGAAGAAAAAAAAAAGAATTGTGGCCTTTGTATTCTTAGGCATTAACTTGGATGATTGGAGCTAGTAAATAGCAGGTTTCAATTGTCAAGCAACACTAAAAATGTAATTTTCCTTGGATTGTGGTTTACTAGTTGTGTATATGAGACAAACAAAGCATTTTGACTTTGAGATATGGAAGAAGGGGTGGGTTTTCTCAAAGCCTGTAGCAAAACACTCTATTTTTAAAAAGGCTAAGAAAAGTGAATGATCTCTACAATTGAGTGCTTTCTTTTTTAAAAAAGAAAGAATAACCATGTAATTTATCGAACGCATTTTAACAGTAGTTCATTTTCAGATTGGGCTGCTGTATGTTTAGAATTGGCTGTAAAATACTTTTTCTCTAATATTTTTATAAGATTAAAAAAAATGAGTACATCGAAGCATCTTTTGATATTCTGGTTAAACAAATGTAAAAAAAACACCCATGAAATTAATTTATTTCTTACAATAAGCAGAAAGCATTAGGCAACCTGCTGTACAAGGGGGCAAGATTGTTTTAAATTATGATTTAATGTTCTTTCTCTTATCCAGCCTTAGGGAAAAAAGGTTCTTTTCAAACTGAGCATATAGTACCTATGTAGGTTAGTTGTACAGATCCAAATCCCAAATTATTTTACCCTGACTATTCTGAACATCTACCATTTCTGCAATTTTGGATCCAGGGCAAGAGAACAACTCAGTTTTAATTTATTATGGATAAAAAAACCCACACATGTAAATAATGTTAGTTATATTCTGACCCCGCTCAGTCTTGGAAATGTATTGAGAAATCCCCCCCCCTTTTTTTTTAAATGGGATTTTGTGACATTTCTAAACTGTGGAACTAAGTTCCCAAATCTTCTGAAGGTATGGAGCTTAAATTTTCCTCTGATAAAAATTTCCTTCTTTTTCCCAGTTGTGAAAGCTATTCCTATAAATCGAATAGACGTACAGATTTAATGGTAGCCTTTAAATGCTTTTTGTCCCCGTCTCCCCCCAGTGCAGTGTTTACGAGATGAGGAAACTTAGTTTTTCCATCTCCCCTTTCTGTTTTAAAACTATATGTTGCATTGATCGTTTCTTAGACTGTTGAAACTCCATATAATTGGGAACGGGAATTGGAAGACAGTGTCTAAAATGGGTCAAATAACACAAATTGCAGTGATTTTTTTCCAATCCAGCCAAGAGATTTATTTTTCAAGTGAGAAAATAAGTGCCTAGCCAAACCAGCCAGGCCTGTTATATGTTCTGTTTAAGGGATACGTGACACACCTTCTATTTTTCTTGGTGCAGAAAAGAAGCAATTTATTGCTTTGCTAACTCACTCTTTGTGTCCACGAATGTGGCAGATAAGAGGCTGCAGAACAGATCGTGCTGCAGCTGTATTGTACTTTGTCAGTTAGTCCTGTAAAACAAAAATGTAAATTTTCAGACCAGTTATCTAAGTTGTGTCTTTCTGCTGCAGTTTTTGAAGCTCTAAAGCCATTCTTGTATTTGGCCTTCAAAAAGGATAAACCTGAAATAATTTTAAATGCGTGCAGTAGATTTGATAAAGGGGTATGTCCATAATCTGTAGCAGCTATTCATAGGTCAGCTCATTTTAAGGTTGAAAAGTAAAGATAATCAAACATGCCTCCAGCAGTTTCATATTGCAGGCTGCTTTTTAGTGCTGAGATGAATTGCCACGTCTGATGGTTATGGTACTCAGGAATCAAACCATTAGCTATTTTTAATGTGCCATAATTGACAGTACAATAAACAAAACAAAGTCACTCAATCCCTTTTTATAATAAACATTAAAATTAAAATGGAAGTGAGAGCAGAGTGATTTTTCTTCCACAATACTATCCCTATCTTGCCTTTTAGCTACGAAGACTTAATGTTTTCCAGTCCAGAAGAAGAGCAAAGTGTTCAAAGCCACCTTGATATTCCAAAGGAACTACAGAAATAAAGTGGCTATTCGATTCATTTGGGTTTTATATGGGAAGAAACCTCCATGGTAGGACAAACATATAAAAGGGCTCTTAACTGGCAACAAGTCTCTTAAGTCACCTACAATGGTCAGAGAGATGTGTGCTGCTCTTTCTATTCTGTGCACTAAGCAAGGCTGTCCTAACTAGCATTGAAAGTACAATAGGAGATCCCGGTTATCTTGCCTAGCCTCCCAAAAGCAAGATTTCATCTTCCTCTACCAAACTTCCAAGAAACTTCCTACAACTAATGGTGGTCTTTGAACGTGAAGACCAAACCAGCAAGGCTCTGAGTATTTCCTGATTGATAAACCAGAGCCCACAGAAGATTCAGGGTTAAATTTTGCAGTTACAGAAAGGGAAGGGTGAGGCCAAGCCAAGGTTCGCCAACAGAACCCTAAGGTCTTCTATCAACAGGTGAGGGTGAAAGATTTGCATTACTCCTTTACATATTTTTGCTGCTGAAATTCAGGAAGGCTCCAGGAGGCCACAAAATTATATGTAAGGGTTTTATGTAACATTTGAGCTACTTAGTTTGGGAGGGCAAAAGTTGAAATCCACCATAATCATGAGATTTCTTACCTTTGGAAAAAGGCAAGCACATAGGTTCATGGAATTATGTCCTTTGCTGCTGCTGAACCGCTCTCTAGTTAGAGGATCACTAGCAACAAAGTATTTGCACACAAAAAGGTATTTGGGAATGTGGAATAGATTATCATTAATGATAAATTAGGGATGCTTAGCGCTCTCTGAGCTTGGTTGTTTTCTTGCAAGTTCATTATTCCCAATAGGTAACATCATCAGTGATCATGTTACCTAGTTTGGGTAATGAAGAAACTTCTGCCAAAACAAAAAACCCCAAGCTCAGAGAGCACCGAGGGCCCTGAGCTACAAATATTCTCCTTTATCAGAACTGTAAATTTCTTGGTTTGAAAAGCTATATGCAACTATGATTGAAGGAATCTGATAGTCGCTTTGTGGACTTTTCTGTTATGCAATTCCCCCGCCCCCTATACTTAGATTGAAAAGTCCAACTGTAATTGGCTTTGATTTATCCTTTTATCTTCCAGCTGTTCCTAACAGCTTGTATTAGTTTCTTGCAGTCCTAACCAATAGAAAAAAAACTGGATTTGAAAAACTGTTACTATATATTCTTGGGGTTTTATTCTGTGGTGATAAGAGCTATGAGAGACAGGATTTCATTTCTCCAACTCTTTAACTGTTGAAACATCTACCCAACCCGGTTTATTGGTAAAAATAAGTTTACTGTACAGATTGCATTCTCACCAATAAGGTCATTTCAAGCATTTGCGATACAAAAATGAGATAGAAAATGGCCATGCCACACGAGAGGAAAAGTAAATGGTAGGTACGTCCCTTGACAAATTAAGGTTTCAACTAGGTGACCACAGTAAGTTACACATACAAGTTATTTTTCAAGCATGCTTCCATAAATAATTATTGGTGAGCTAATGACATCTATTTCACAAACTTGAAAGTTTCCACATTTACATAATAAGGTTCTGAGGAAGACTGCATTTTGACAGTGCTGTATCAAGTGCACAACAGAAAGTTTTTACTTTACACACCAAATATCAAGAAAATATTTTTTGTTCACTATTTACAAACATATCTTAGAATTTACAAAGGGGGATACATATCGGAGAAATTCTTATTTAGAGAAGGAAAACATGTTATACAAATTCTTGTGCTCAGCCTAATAGATTTTTTACCTACAGCTTGCTTTGCAAAGTTAGAGTTCATCTTTCTAAGCAAAAATTATGAATAAATTCCCTTTTACTGAGGTATTTAATGAACTGGGTATAGATATAAACATCTGAATATTGAAATTAGCAATATATTTTGAGCACTCATTTTTGAAAAATATTGGCATTAATATAAATAAGCTGTGGAAAGTATTTTAAGACTGGAATGCCAGATAATAAAAATTATCTAGAAATATGTCTAGAGTTCAGCTAAACATATTTGTTCTCTAAATATGCACTATGTTTGAATGAACTACTATGCTAAAAATATTTACCAATAAAAGCATAATAGTAGGTCACAGTTTAAAATCAGAATTAAATAGTTGCAGAATAGAACTATGATTCTCCCCAGCCAGCATAATAAAATTACTGGTAAACTCTTAATGAGCTTAACAAAACTTCTAGAAACAACTTGGGAAAAACATTATAACAAAACATGCAAATTTGATCCAAAACTATCACCACCAAGTATTATTCCAAGCAAATTTGAGAATTTAACACATTTCCCTTCCGTTTTTAATTTTATGTACATTCCTCGAATAAGTGGGAAATAAATTTCAGCTCAGCTAGTTAGGGTTAAGTGGTCTATAAATAACTAATGGGGGCCTACTTTTTTAGCCAGGCTCCCTGAAGACTAGAATTTCTTCTTACAAAAAATGCATTTGATCATTTTCAAAAAGGTTCAGCTTATCAAGACAAATTTACCTGTTTTTCCATGTCGTTATATGAGAACCATACTTCATTTGCCAGACCACCCGCCCCTCGTATCAAAACAGCGGCTCCCAGTATATTTTTGAACAGGGGCTTATTAAAGTCGGAGGTTAAGGTTTATTCTTAAAGAGACTCTTGCCTTAATTCCCAAGTACCCTTCGTGCATGGAGGCAAAATTAGGAAAGAAACTATCCCATTTCTTCTTTCAACCGGTAGATACTCAACTTCCTGATAAAGTCATTCTGCAAATTCTGGGATAGCTTTCCAAAAAACAGCTATAATGTTTCATAGGCTAGGAGTAAAAAAGAATAAAGGCATCTAAACTCATTGTGCGCAGGGAACCCCGCTGAACCCCACTGCTTTTAGCTATCGGCATGAAGTATTTCCCAATCCTTAATTGGATAATTGTCATCTCCAAAAATATTCTATAAAACTCTCAAGCATTTCATAAGCATTTTTTTAATTCACAGACATCTCACACAAAAGCACATAAGAACCTCAAGTTATTTACATACAAGTTAATAACTTATCTTGACTTACTGAAAGGTAAGAAAAAGTTCTTGCATGTTTTTGCTAACTAAAACAGGATGTGGAATCTGTTAAATTTCATAGGGATCTAAACAGTTTTTTTTTTATAATTTTACTATATTTCCCATCAGTTACTGGTTGTAAAAGAATATATTTCAGAAATACTTCAGTGTGCAAAAATTCCTTTTACTTTTATTGCTTACTTACTGATCTTAACACGTCCTATTAGTGCCTAAGTTTTGAGAAGAGCTAAAAATACTTAACATCAACAACAAATGTCAACAAATTTCTCACCAGCCCCACCAAAATTATTTTAGAAAGGTGCTGTTATTCTTGTGGAATTATTTATATTTAAAAATGAAGTTCCTGCCCATATGAAAGAGAGTTTCAAGTGTTACACTAGCAAATCCACTAAAACCGAATTCTTAAAAAAAAAAACCCTCTAATTTAGGAAAGCAACAGATTAAAAACATCAGCAATACAGCAACTCTCTCCTGGAGTAGATCAATTACTGTATATGACTGTGCTTTGAATATTTTCCTCCACCAATCGCTGATACGTGGTATAAAAGAATCAACCGGATTTGGGATATATTAATTTTTCAATGCCCATTAGGAAATCTCTGCTTTGACAACTTTTTGCTGTTAAAACAGACAGTGTTCATAAGAGCTTTAATTTTTTCTCAGGCTCAAGTCACTGTTCGTTACTAGTGCTGACAGAGATGTACTTTCTGAGGCATCTTCCTTAAGATTCAGGAACGATTCTCTGGTTATCTGCAGTATTTCTCTCAGTCCTTTGTTTTCCTGCTGTAAGCAACAAAACAATGCTTTTAAAGCGGCATGACAAAGAATTAAAATGCTCTTCCCCTTCCCAACACTAAGTTGTTTCTCTTTCCTGAACGGCTTCTGCAATCTTTCATCAAGGTTGTCTCCACATTTTTCTACAATCCCGTCCCTTGAGGTGATGTTGATGTCCCACCCTCGAATACCAGAGTACCAGCGTACTTGCACCCAAGCTAAGTGTCTTTTACTAGAGATGTTACTCTCATTAGAGGCCACTAGGGCACAAAGATTTTCTCAAGATTTTAGAAGAGTACTAAAATTAAAGACTATGCAGAAGATACACTTTTCTTTGATTTGAAAGTCTGACCTCTCTTCGTTCTTACTATAAGGGGATGGGAAAAACAAAAGGACCTTGTAATTTTGAGGCAACAGTACTCTGCTCATGCAAAATACTGATAGTCCTTGACTTACAATTTAACTTCAGATAGGTATGTGACTTTAACATTCTTATCTTAATAATTCTTTGAATCCACTAGTTTAAAAATAATATATTCATTTTTCCAGAGTTTAAATCCTACCTCAAGCTGAAAAATACGTTCTTGTTCTTTGCAACCTTGCTGCTCATCAATTTCAATGGCTTTTCTCATTACTGCTGCCATTTCCGTGATTTGGTCCACATGTACTTGCAATTCCTAAATCAAGAGTAAAGCAACATTAACAAAGGGCAATACTTTCATTTTAAAGTATCTCCTGAATACTGTTTTGATGTTACGACAGATTGTCTTCATAATCATAATTGTATAATCAAAAAACAAAACTTGTTTGTTTTGTTCATATTTCTAAGTCTCATATTTCCTCCACAATATGAAGAGCTTTGTAATAAATAGTTTTCAGGTCATTACATTACATTACATTACATTATTCCTTGTAAACTGAATATTAGTTAGGGTCACAGACCAAAATTACCTATAACATTTGAAGTTGTGTAATCTGAATTTCCATAATTCCTAGCAATGATTATGCTGGTGGAAAATTCTGGGAGTTGATGTCTACACACTATATCTCTAAAGTTTTATAGAAACCATGGTTGAGTATCATTTTGTTTGCAGTGACTCACCCAGAGATGACATGGGAGGCAATATAAATCAAATAAAATCAGTCAAGGTTTTGTAACTTTCCTTTGAGATTTTTCAGTATTTATTGGCTAATAAGGAATCCACATTCACATGTATATAACCGCTAAAGTGATCTACCAGGAGGGATGATATTATTTCAGAGTGCCAGGTCTGGTACAAGGGATAGCTCCACAAAGCAGAGGGTATTGATATAACTACTAGTCCTTGGCTTACAACAGTGTCTTTAGTGAATGTTCAAAGTTACAACGGCACTTTAAAAAGTGACTTATGACCATTTTTCACACTTACGAACTCTGTAGCATCCCCATGTTCATGTGATCAAAATTCAGATGCTTGGCAACTGACTTGTACTGATGACAGTTGCAGTTTCCTAAGGTCATGTAAACCCCTTTTGTGACCTTCTGACAAGCAAAGTCAACGGGGAAACCAGATTCACTTAACAACCATATTACCAACTTATCAACTGAGGTGATTCACTTAACTGTGGCAAGAAAGGTTGTAAAATGGGGCAAAATTCACTTAATAACTGTCTCACTTAATTTTGGGCTCAATTTTGGCCATCAAGTTGAGAACATCATGTTTTCAACTTGATGGCCAGATTTGATTTTGTAAATCTTCTTTCTATCATTGCCATTTTGCAGGTCAAGAATGTAAAATCTGATTTAAGTTGTGTATTGTTTTGTGCCCATATTACATATTAGCCCAGTGCCAGAAGAGATTTATAAAAACATTAAGGGCCTGCTACCTTGGAGTGCTGTTCCTTTAACTTCATAATTATACCCGGATCATCTTTTTTGCTGGCCATGAGCAATCTAAACATCTGTTCTCTATATTTGCTCATGATTAGCTCCAAGGCACACTGATGTTCTTCGAGAGATGTTCGGAGTTCTGTTAGAAAACACAGCAAATTTAACATGCACATGTATTTTTACTATTTATTAAATGTATATACAAGTAACCCTACGTAAATACAACACCCCCCCCCCCCTTTTCTACTTGATAAATAGAATAAAGTAGAATCTTGGTTGTCTTTTCTCCTGAAAAAAGTTCTATCTGTTCAGATAATTCAAATACTGTGAAATATATCAGCAATTTCCAAAGTTTTTATTTATATAGACTACTATTTCTTCATCATGAAAAGCCCTTACACGAAACCATGCATTAAAGTATTTTGCAGCATAACATATGCCTGATGGAAGTAAAAAGGGGTATTGAAAGTACAGCTATGCTATAATTAGAAGAGCATTCATAATAACCTCTGGCAAAAAGGCTGCCATTTAAATTTATCAAATATTACATTACAAAGATATTTGGAAAGCAAATTACTATTGTGAATAGGACTCAGGAAAAAAAATGCTTTTGGCTCCAAATGCTGCATATGCTATGTTAAGAATGGTACATTAAAATGTATAGCATTCTGCTCCCAACACACACATCGTAAAGCACCAGAAGTTGGAAATAATTGCAATAGGTGCTTCAGGTATTTTACAGGCACACATCATAATACTGATATATTATTGTAAACTATTAAGTATTTGGCTACCCTAATAAAGCATGCTAAATTTTAAAGAGAAACCTTGGACTATTTTGATAGTAAACAGGACTCTTCTTAAACTGAATTTTTATTAACCTTTATTTTCTTGTTGTAGTTCTCTGATCTGTCTATTTTCCTGCTGGATACCTAAGACCAAGGAAGAACGAGGTCTATGTCTTGCTACTTCGTTAAGTTCTTGAATTTCTTCCTGGTACTGAAATTATAAAACAGACAGAATAAATTTCAATTTCAAAACCGGACATTTTGATACAGTATAATTAGTATTATGAACCATAAAACTTTGTCTTTATATCTTCCAAATGTGAATTTAAAAGCTGAACACTTCAAACAACTTAACCATAAAATACAGCATATTTAATTTAGTTAGTTTCTGAATCAGAAATATTAAGAGAGAAACCTGTTTCATTGCTTCCACTCGTTTGTTGAGATCGGTAGTTTGTTCAATGAGAGCTTCTGCTGCAGTGTCATGCTCTCTTAGTCGTTCCACTAACGCTTTGGCATCAGCTAGGGCCTTCTCAATTGTGCAACTCATTTCTAAAAATCAAAATAAAAGATAATGTTATATACCAGCTACCCTTCCACTTTGTCAGAAACAGCGTAAGTTGCCTAGCATCCTGAACATGCAGACTGAAGTATGAAAGTGCGGAACTTTCCCTTTTGTTAATGTCACTGAAGGTTGATTTTATATCCTTTACTGTTTTATTCTATTAGCATCTTGATGCAATACAGAAGCAAGATTAATGGACTTCTGCACAGGATTGCCTTAATTTATATCACTTGTAAATCACAGCTCTTGGATATGATGGTGCCATTCTTCCAATCTGGATGTCCTGTATTTTGAATAGAATATTGTCACCCTATATGTCCTAAAACTTATCATACTGGGAGACCTTTTAATTTTTGAAACAGTATTGTATAAGTATGTAAGGCCTCCTTGTGACCCTGATACATTGAATGAGGCTTCTGCACTAACAAATATACAACAATATCAATGTAAAAATACATTTTGCATCCTCAAAATATAAGAACTAGGGGAAACTTTAATAAGTTTTGATTTCACAGAAGGAATCTATTGCTTGTAGTTATTGTACCCTTGCTAAATGGTGACACTGGTAAAATACACAAGCAATTCAGGCCACCCCTTCCTGTTCAAAGGTATTATTTGTCACAATGTAACCGCAGCAAGAAGCTACTTTACAAATTACCTTAATTTAATACTTCCTGCCTGATACATTTGGATGTGTAAAGTTTTCATAACAGAAAAGGAAATCACAAATGACTCTTTATATAAAGCTCCTAAATTTAAACATAACTTTCTGCAAAAGTTTTCTTACTGTTTTTAGATATTTATGGGTTTTCTGAATTACTTTGTTGAGAAATTCTCTTCATTGATCATTGATCACATTCTCACTAACCTAGGGAAATCTTAATATCAAATCTAGTGGATGGACGTATCAACTTGATACAGGCACTAAACTACAGTAACAGCTGCATTTTGTAATTTTACAGATGTTATTGTAGTTTTATTTTTATCCCATTTTATTTTTAATGTAGCCAATATTGTATCTGAACCCATAAGTAAAATCATTAGTGCAAGAAGAGGGAGGGAGAGGAGGAGGAACTGTGGGATCCTTTATGGTCTCTGAGCTGGGTGGTTTTCTTGCATACATTTCAGTACCCAACTAGGTAACATCATCAGTTCTGGAAGGGAACGGGTTTGCTGGGAAGAGAATTGTAGGATCCTTGGTGCTCTCTGAGTTTGGTTACAAGTAGTCCTCAACTTACAACCACAACTGAGCACCAAATTTCTGTTGCTAAGTGAGACATTTGTTAAGTGAGTTTTGCCCCATTGTACAACTTTTCTTGACACAGTTGTTAAATGAATCACTGCAGATGTTACTAATATGGTTGTTAAACGACTGGCTTCCCCATTAACATTGCTTGTCAGAAGGTAATAAAAGGGGATCCCATGATCCCAGGGACATTGCAACCATCATAAATATGAACCAACTGTCCCGAGCATCCATCTGAATTTCAATCACGTGACTATGGGACCGTTGCAATGGTGGGAAGTGTGAAAAACGGCCATAAGTCCCTTTTCCAGTGCTGTTTGAACAGTCATCAAAAGAACCATTGTAAGTTGAGGACTACCTGTATTTTCTTGCAGACGTTTCATTGCCCAACTAGGGAACGTCATCAGTCCTAGAAGGGGTGGAGGGAGGAGAATGGGGTCCTTGATGCTTTCTGAGTTTGGTGGTGTTCTTGCAGATGTTTCATTGCCCAACTAGGGAACACCATCAGTGCCAGAAGGGAGGAGGGGTTTGCTCTGTTTACAGAGTGTCTCTCCCTGCCAAAGATTAAATGATGCCCAGGAAGAGGTATAAAACAAATGTGTTAAATATCCTCATACAACACACTCCACCAGGCTAAAAAATAAAGGAGACTGCAGAGACACCCAAGCCCCATTAAAGAAGGAGGGGAGATCCAAGCTCAGCCAACCTTTTGGCAGGCCTGGCCTTTGCTCCCTTCAGACCTGGGCCAGGCTGGAGGGAATTTAAAACTTAGAATATCTTTATTGTCAATTTAAATGTAGACTGATTGGCATACATGAAAATGAAATTTCGTGGCAATTGGCTCTCAAAGGGCTGCCAAGCTCCAATATACACTACATAAACATGGCCAATAAATAAATAAAAAATTATGCATATACCCACATCACCACGTGACACAGGGACATGACCATTAATTAATTAAGCATATCCCCACATACATTATATAATACAGGGACATGACCATTCACTAATTAACTATGCATATCTCCACATCTATTATGACACAGGGACAAGACCAATAAATAAAGCCTATCCCCCCCCCATCCCTCCTTTATTATGGATATACCCACATATATGACATAGGGACATGATCAATCAATCAATACATAAATAACATGCATATACTCACATCCCCACATACATTATATGACACAGGGACAAGACCAATAAATAAATGCATAAATAAAACATTATGCCTATGCCCCATCCCCACATCAAATGACACAGGGTCATTTATTTATATATTTACTGAATTTATGATGAATTTATGACGTGACCAATCATGAATTCATTGATTAATTATGCATATCCCCACATATATTGCATGACACAGGGACATGACCATCATTAATTATGCATATCCCCACATATACTATATGACACAGGGACAAGACCAATAAATACACGCACAAATAAATAAATAAATTACGCCTATCCCTACATCTCTTATATGACCCGGGGACTCCCCCCCCCAGGCAGGGGGGTCCGGCTGCCAAACAACCCTAGCAGGCATCTCCGGCCTCCTCGCAGGCTTAAGGGGGAAAAAAGCGTCTCTGTCTCCTCTCTCCTCCGCCCCCCCACCCCCACCCCCAGGAACGGTTTAACGGCTTTTCCCAAACGTCGCGGCCGCGCGCCCACCACGCCAGCCAATAAGAGCGCGGCTAGGCCACACGCGCTCGCTCGCTTTCTCACTCGCTCTCTTTCTCCCCCTCCCTTCCCGCGCGCATCCGCCTCGGAGGACGCGTGCGCGCGCACCCTCCACAAAAACTCCCCCCTCTCTCTCTCACCGATGGTTCCGATTCATTCCTTGCTGCCGCCACCGCCCCCCCCCCTCTACCCGGCAGGGCGCAGACGCGGGCGAGAGGATGTGGAGGGACGCCAGCGGCTCCGCCGCTTCGCCGTCCGCCTACCGCGTCGCCCCTTCACACGGCGGCAGCTCGAAGGACAAGAGGAAGAGGCACCGGCCGGCCGGGCGACCCCATGGGGCAGCGGTGAGGTAGGTACGGGCGAGAGCCGCTCGCTGGCACCGCTTGGAGAAAGAAGAGGCAGGCGATGCGGGCAAAGCGAGTTATCGCGAGATTTGGCCTCTCTCTTTCTCCTTCCCCTCCCCTCTGCCTAAGCTAGTGAAATATCGCGAGGCGCGTTTCTTTTTTTTTTTCTTTTTTTTTCTCCATTCTCCTCTGGACGCTCCCCTCCCCAATTGGAAACATCGCGAGGTTTTGCTCAGCCTGGAAAAAGAAAAGAGGCGGGGGAATTCCCCAGCCAATCAGGGGTCCCGTTCGAAGTCTCGCGAGATGTCACTTTCTCTCCCTCCCTCTCTTCCCCGCCCGCCTCTCTTTCGCCCGAGAGTGAAAGTTGCTCAGAGCGCATGCGCGATCCTCTCCCTGGAAGTAGAAGAAAGTCAAGAGTAAGGCGACATACGTTGTATGATTGTGATTGTGTGAGTGTTGTAGGAAGGCCCTTTGGGGTTGAAAAAATACTGGTGCTCGTGGGGGCTCTTGGATTCTTTAAAATCAAGCTTCCCACCTTGCAAAGGGGGTGGATGGCTGCTTCCTCCTTTGATTGCAGGCAGTCCTCGACTTACGACCACGATTGAGCCCTGGTTGCTAAGCAAGACGCTTTGTTCAGTGTGCTTGCTTTACAACCTTCCTCGCCGCTGGTCGGTAAGTGGAATCCCTGCAGTTGTTAAAGTGAGTCACATGGTCATTAAGCAAATCCAGGAGGAAGCGGAAGGGGATCCCGTAACCCCGGGGGACTCTGCGACCCGTCGTAAGTACGAGTCCGTTGCCGAGTGTCTGAATTTTGATCATGTGATCCTTGGCGAAATGCTGCAATGGTCGTTAAGTGTGAAAAACAATCACAAGTCCCTTGTTTTTTTTCAGTGCCCTACTAACTTCGACCGGTCACCAAACAAACTGACTGTGCTTTGACAAGCAAATTGCCAAGACAATGAGAGTGGCCCGTGAACGGACCTGCTAGTTTAAAAGTAAAGCAATTTTTTTAAAAAAATAAGTTATATTTATAATAGTAGTTAGTACAGGTAAGCCCTCGGGACTACCTGTATCAAGATTGTGAAAAGGACATATTGACATGAATCAATCAAACCTTCGCTCTTTGCTTCTGTTAAAGGAGTTGCTCGGACTCTGCAGATGCTCATGGTTTACTAACTCTTGAGTTTTTGCCTTTGAGTTCAGGCATGTGTGCTAAGTTAATGTTTGCCCCACCCTGGATGTAAACTCCAATCTGTTTGAATCCAAGTCTTAGTTGAATCTAGTTCAACCTGTCTATGTGGTTTTCTTGTCAACAATCAGGAAGCAGTTGGCCACTGGATATCCAGAATATGTGTGTGTGTGTGTGTGTGTGTGTGTGTGTGTGTGTGTTTATTTTCTGCCAGATTCACAATCTAATGGCAGGAAGTTGTAGCATCTGGCTGACCTTGTCTGATCTCAGAAAAGCCAAGTGGGATCAGATCTGCTTAGGACATGAATCAAAAGGAAAAAAAACCCACTGTTTTTTAATCAATGCTGGGATCTGGTAAGAGTTTCAGGGAACATATGTCGATTTGGAACATAAAATATAAATAGACAAAACAACTGGACTGAACAAATCTTAATAGTGAAGTGGGAAAAAAATGCCAGTTGAAATTTAGAAGGTATGGAACTTTAATTTAAGAATCTAAAGTATTATATGAAAACTTACCAGGTAGTTCCATATCTTCATTTTTGTGATCTCCCTCTCCTCAATGCAGCCCCAATAGTTTAATTTCATTTAAAACATTATTCTTCGTGTGTGCAAGAAGCTGTCTTATGCAGTGGATTTTCATGTTATTATAGTATCATTGTCTACATTTAATAGCCTCATTTTTAATTGATGTAGTATTTGCCTACATTTTTCATTTCACTTATTGCAGAAAGAAAATGAAGCTTTTCTCAGAGTCGCACAAAACAGTTTTTGTGGTAGATCACTGTCCTTATATGGCCGAATCCTGTCGACAACATGTTGAGTTTGATATGCTCGTAAAGAATCGGACACAAGGAATTATACCTCTTGCTCCTATATCAAGATCCCTCTGGACATGTTCAGTGGAGTCCTCCATGGAATACTGCAGGATAATGTATGACATATTTCCTTTTAAAAAACTAGTAAGTAACCCTTACCTTTTATAACAATGAGGTTTTGCAAGCAAGAGGTTCTCTGCTACTGTTCTAATTCGTACTTCATGCTAAGCCATGAGTTTTGGTTACTACTATTTTGACTATGCGTTTTAAAATACAAGATTTTTCAGGTTCAACACTAAATTAGTATCTTTTAAAATATAAATAGAGGAAAACTAATTAACTAGAAGCTTGAAGAAACCTTAGTTCATAACACTAAATGTCAGCCATATAGAGGCTATTCCTGGCATGCTTCCCATCCATTTTTGTGTAAACACATTGTGCTGTACGTTCATATGATCTGCTACATTCTAGGAAAAAGATAGCAGACTTCTGCTACCATTTTATCCCCCTGGTACGTGTACTGAGGGGCCAAATCCTTTGGCTCATGGTTCTCTATAGGCCCCAACAAGTATGTTTGTCAGTCTGTGGTGGCCAGTGGTTAGAATGCTGCATTGCAGGCTAATTCTGCCAACTGCCAGCAGTTCAATTCTCACAGGTTCAAGGTTGACTCAGCCTTCCATCCTTCCGAGGACGGTAAAATAATGACCTAGATTGTTGAGGGCAATAGGCTGACTCTTTAAACCGCTTAGAGAGGGCTGTGAAGCACTGTGAAGCACTATATAAGTCTAAGGGCTATTGCTACGGCAAGGTGTCAGGGTTCCAGCGATTGCCCTAATTAAATCATGGGCCTTGAGCCAAGCTTCAAAAGAATGCAAAAGATTTATTAGGAACAACATGTTGGCATTAGCCTACATGAAACCAACTCTGGCATATGTAATTTATAGTCACCTGTGACCCTGTCCCCCCACCCCCCGGTGTCTCATCAGCCAGATTCTTCAACTGAGCAGGTTCATGGGCTGGGTGTCATCAATCACGTTCTCCAATGAAGGATTTTCAGGGGCAGAATATCCGGTAGCCTAGCTACAATCTTTGTAAGATAAGCGTGGAATGTACTTCTGGTTTTAAACTGACTTACTGCTCCTTGAGATTTTCCCTCCCCCCTTGTTTATGGCAACTCGAAAACAGGCATAGAAATGTTTTACGAGTTGACACAAGGGTTCCGAACCCTTGGTCTGTAGATGGGCACCGGTCTACGACATGCCAGAAACTGGGCTGTGCAACCAAGCGATCCCCCATCCGTGGGATGGAGGCAACCCATGAAATCACGCTCCCTCTGGTCCACCAAAAATCCTCTCTCCATGGAACTGGTCCCTGGTGCCCAAAACGTTGAGGGAGGGCACTGGTCTAAGGGATCTTGTAACATTTTTTACTTTATGATTTAAATGTTTGCAGTAGGTTCTTTAAAACCACTGGAAGCATTCGTGTGAATAAAACAGCATCTGATCATTTTTATTTGAACTGCATGCCATTACATATAACCTGGCATATGCCTAAGGTGTTAAAATTCAGCCTGTCCTATTTATTCACTGGATGCTTACTGGCAGATCATTTGAAGGAATGAGATGTTGCCTCAGATTGAAATGTCATGAAATGTATTGATTCTTTGCTCTCGCAAAAGGTGACAGTTCCCTCATCATGTAATCTACAGTGGGGTTGTCTTTCTCAGAAGGACCTCAGTTAGTGTTACACTTTTCCCCAAACTGTGGAAATATTTAGCCAGTGTTGGTTGTGTCGTTAAACTGTCACGTACACTTTTCAGGTGAACTTCATTGTAAGCGACTCTGGAGCAAATGTCTTAAATTCGTGGAACCAGGAAGACCAAAACTTGCAGGAGGTAAACGAAATTATAAAAAATTTACACAATTGTAGCCACTTCATATAGGAATGCAGTGGCTCAGTGGCTTAAGACACTGAACTTGTCAATCAGAAAGGTCGAATCGAATCCCTAGCGCCACATAACAGAGTGAGTTCCCATTACTCATCCCAGCTTCTGCCAACCTAGCAGTTTGTAAGCATGTAAAAAAATGCAAGTAGAAAAATAGGGACCACTTTGGTGGGAAGGGAACAGCATTTCGTGTGCCTTCGGCATTTAGTCCTGCTGGCCACATGACCATGGAAACTTCTTTGGAAAGCACTGGCTCTATGGCTTTGTAATGGAGATGAGCAGCGCCCCTTAGAGCCTGAAATGACTAGCACGTATGTACGAGGAGAACCTTTACCTTTAGCCACTTGATAGGAAGACGGATGAGATGGATAGATTAACAATGAAAACTAAGAATCAGGAGGAAACAGAATACTTTTTAACATGGGAGGCATTTTATCAATGGCTAGAAAATAGAAGCAGAAGTTAGAAACTTACAATTGAAAATAATATTTAATTAATAATGTAAGGTGGAATAATTAAGGATGATCAAATATTAATATGTTTTGATGATACTTGTTATATAATAGCATGTTAAAATTTTTGTCGTCACTGTTCAAAATCGATTGTACCCAGACAACACACTGTGGATGTGAAGATTTATGTATACCAAAGAAAAACATATAAATAAAATATAAAGAAGGCAGATATTTAATTGGATTCAAGCAGAGTTAGATTCTCCTAAAATCAAAGGCCATGGCTTAAATTCAACTAAGAACTAAGTCTAAATCCCAGGCAGTCAATTGCTATTCTTCAGCACGGTAGGACACTTATGAAGCAGACCTTAAGAAGATGGCTTTAGGTTTAGAGAAGAAGGACTGGAAAGAAGCATTCCTAGTTTTAATCCCAGGGTGGTGGATCCATACCCATTAAATTATACAGAAGAAACTACTTACTAGTGTCTCTTTGGAAATGAAGCTTTGGAAATGAAGAATACTCTTTTTTTTTGTAAATGTTATTTAAAGTACATACAATTCATCTTCCATTTAACGGTATGTCATCTGGGTACAAATATCTTTTGCAGTAACAATTAAAATTTACATCCATGTTCATGACTTTGCTATTAATTCTCTATTCTTATTGATACATATAATA